CTGAGCGACTTTGTGCACGCATCCGCAGATACTGTTCAATTGCTGAAACATAGCCACCGAAGTAAGCAAAGAAAATCACACTTTAACCTAGACCTGGCAAATCGAATAATGCAGTTTGCAAGACCCCGGCCACTAGATTAGAGCTTAAATTTATACAACACCTTGGCTGGCCACCACAGTAAAGAAACAGGTTTACCCAACCCAAAATCCCCGAACACTAGCATCCCGAAGTTTCCGAAACCATGGAGACTAGAGGCTGCTGGACTTTGCCTGAACCCTGACATGATTCTGTCTGCCTTTGTAGCACAGACACAGACATTTTCAATCACACACGACAGCTCTTATCATTGCCTGCTTCCTTTGTGCACTCGATGCACGGGCTTGTGAGCCATTGCTGATCTGTTCTTCTTCTGGGCCCTCGAGCTGGATTCTCGTCAGCATGCATAACACGTGGATCCGTACTCATTAGTACGTGAATTTCAGAGCAGGTCTCGAAGGTTTTCTTTGGATTCGGCCCCCGAGTGAATTGCTAGGTTTGTCTAAATGGCTTAAGGGGCTGCCGTCGGCTGGGATTCTATTTTCGGCTTATCTAAAGGGGTTACATGGGATAGGTGACGGGGCTGTTTGGTTGCGGCTTTTTTGGGGCTGGGGTAATGGTTTGGGGCTTGGGTAGCTAGGTGAAAGGCCTGCGGGTTCCTGAGTCAAGGGTTCTGGCCCCGATTTCTGGGCCTGCTTCCGTAGCTTTAAATTAAAGTAAAACCCGGGTCCCGAGCTTTTACTGGCAATATCGGGCCGTGTGCGTGCTCGCTCGATAGGAACGTGCTCTCTGACCGGATTCTGGCCCGGAGCGTGCTCGCTCGGGCGATCGTGCTCTCTGAAACCGTACGTGCTCTCAGCCCCCGAACCGTGCTACCGGAACCTGATTTCCCGGCCATGGTGCACCAACATGGACGCGGCCCAAGCCGGAGCCAGCACCCTAATCCTGTAGACGGCGACCACCAGCCACTAAACCAACAAGATTGGATCCGAAGAGCCTAACGCGACTTAGTGCCGAAAGTACCCAACGTGCTCGCTCGAGCGTGCTCGCTCAAAATTTTCCAGTGTCGACCCTCGCACACATGGACGCGGCCCCAGCCCAACCTCGCGACCCTTGACCGGCCTCCAGCCCATCTATCACCACCCCGAAGCCGAGCGAGCACTTTCGAGCGGGCACCTTCGAGCGAGCACCTTCGAGCGAGCACTTTCCAATGATCCCTGAACCTAGGTATGTCCGCGATTGCCTGGCTCCAGAATAGGGAGAAGGAGCTGGTGGCGAGCCTTGGCCCTCTTATCATCGGGGTGGTTCCTTGCTCTGTGCTGAGTCAATAGTGAATAAAGAGCCTATAGTGATCTGAGGGCTCCAGATGATGAAACTCGGCAAAGACTCCGCGAGAAGATTTGCCAGAAGATCGCTTTGATGGATGTTTGCTTCAAACAAAAGCGAGATCTTCCGTTTACAGCGGATCCTGTGACTTGGGAGGTTCGCTCTGCTGTGTGCATTATATATTAATAATAATTTCCTGAAACCCCTAAAACCCTACACTTCTAGCTTGTCATGATGACCCCAACCAGGCAGCCCTCGACGAGCACAGAAAAAATTTCGCAATGAAGCTGGGTGTCTTCATTCGGCCGAAGCTCCATTTGAAGACCGAGCCCTGCCAACCTGAAGTAGCCGATGAGGCAGCCGATCCCGCTGCCCCAGCACAGCAAAACCCCAACAACGACAGCCCAACTCCTTGGACTCCCACGACAGTCGTGTACATCAAGGTTGCTGGTGCTGTCAAAGGTGTTATGCAACTCCACAAAGCTGCCTGACCGACTCTATCTGGTTTAGACTTCTACCTGGCACCGCCCCTCACCCGACTGTTCAATCATTCTCAGGTTTCCGCAGCGGACAATGTCCTGGGCTACAGAATGCTATATCGCTGCGAAGAACTATGGGCCTTGGCCAAACGCAGTCAAAAGTACTACAACTGGTACACAAAATTGTGTCTTCGCTGCAGAAAGTACAAAACTGACTAATCTAGTCTTATCCCCTGCTGCTTCCCAAACCAGTCCTATACGCACTCATCCCCAGATCACAATTGAAGAAATATACTTATGTATAATAAATGATATTTACTTACATATGTATATATATATATATATATATTCATCCTAAACAAGCATACGCCGTACGCCCAAATAAGCACTCAGCCTTATGTCTACTGTTGAAATATTAATTAGTCGCCAGTCACCATTCCAAGTTTCAGCTCGAGGTTGGATGGGCAGAGCCGCGACATCTGTGCAGCCTGGAAAATCGATGTCCTGCAACACATCATCAGAAAAGGCAGCTACAAGGGTGCTGCTAAAAAAGCAACACCCAACAAGCTGAAGCTGCCCTTTGATGCCGTGGTGGCACCGGCAGCATTGTTCATAGCCGCTTGTCTTCATCCTACATTGCCGAGCAACAACTTATCATTGACCCTGAACCACTGAACGTTTTGTCCCATCCGAGGCGGCCTATGTCTTGCAGACCCGGGGCTGTGCCAGCTGTGTGCAACAGCAGACGCTGGAGCTGCTTGAGGTCCTGCTGCTGCCGATCGCGACGAAGAGCATGGAAGTCGTTCTGCTCCCTGATCTAGAAGAATGAGCCTTGGATGGTCACATAAGCACGCTTTCCAAGGGATCATGGCAGACCCCTGATTCCTGTTTCAGGCAAGCTTTCGGTTCGATCCGGAGAAATCCTCCTGTCGGACTGGGGGGCCTTTCTTGACAGCAGAGACCTCCGCCTGAGGCTTCCGTGCACGCTAGTAACAACTTGCTGGCACATAGGTTCTTGGGACCTGCTTTCAATTGATAATTGTTTAGCAGATCAGACTTCCTTATTGAACAGGTGGGCTGGCTCCCGTGCTCTCTCGCCGGAGCTCCAGGCCCTGGAAACAGGACTCGCTCTCACAGTCTCTGAGTCTCTGAATGGAATGAATTAGTGGGTTCTGTTCATTGCAGGAGTTCCTCTGCACGTGGCTATGTGGTTTCTTCTTCGTATTCCTCACGAAGACGAGGTTCAGGACAGTGACAGGGTGACAGTGACAATGCCAAGTACCTAATTAATAATTATGACTGAACAGATCTCAAAATGCAAGCCTTGAACCAAAACCTGCAGCCCTCGAACCTGGAGCCATCGGAAACCACGCAGCTTTGAGTCCGCAGTACTGAATCAGCTAATCATGAATGAATCAAGGCCTTCTTAGTTCTTCCCTGAATTAATAATAACCCTAAATCCCTGAACTCTAAAACCCCTAAACACCCAGGGGCGAACAACATATGGCCGGCTGCAGAGACGAATGGTTCACATGGTGGCCCAGCAGCTGGAGCTGAGCCTTCGGGAGGTTCCAGAGGGATCGCTACCAACCCCCATGGCCGATCACGTGATACATCCTGCCATGAAGTAGCCTGGCTTTGGTTTTTGTGCTTGACTGATTCAGGCTTTGAGGGATCCTGGTTTGTATTTTTTCCGCCTCTCCGCTTACAGGGATGGACGAACACTTCGAGCGGATGTGAAGCCCCGGGAGATGATGGCCGTCGACAGATTTATCTCCAAAGGGGGCGGCCTCATGGGCTGCGACAATACGCTAGAAGATTTCGGCCTTCACGACCTGGCCCCTCCCAATGCCTGCAGGCCTGCCACGCCCAGTATCTAGTATTCTAGGGTTAAAACACTGTAGATTATTTACAGAACTAACCTCTAATAGCAACAGAAAGAGTGCCAGGACCATCTCCGACTTCATCCACAGATACATCAGAGGAAGCGCCTGCCAGATCGAGAAGGACTGGTCGTCCACCCCTATCCAACATTGAGTCCCCCCGGTTCTCAATGACCTAATAATAGTATTACAGCCCAAAACCACCCAACCAACCAAGTCTCCTCCTCGAAGACTCACCGCCCCCGTAGACCAACACACTCCCCGAATTCGCAGCACACCCACCCAATGAAGCAAGAACTGCCTTCCGCACTTATCATCTCTCCCCGGTAGAGAAACACGACTCCTCCCCTAGTACCCACGGCACCATTTCGGTTAAAAACAACCCAGCAGTAAGAACGCATCCCAGTAACAAGCTCCTTCCTAGCCGAAAAGCCATCCGCAATTCTCAATCACCCCTGTATACTGGAACAATAATAAATAAAGGGCTACCACAAATAATCCCCGCAGCACCGGTAGCAAGACTGTGCTTATCGCAATGCCTGTACCAGACCATCTCGCTGCCCAATGAATCAAAACGTAAACACGCCTCCCCTAGCCTCGCAGCCCCAAACAAATACAAGAAGAATCCTGCCCTGCTCGCACCGCCCCGTACGACTTAGATGGCTCCTGCGATTATCTACCCAATTCACCAGAAGAAACAGACACCAGTTCTCACTGCCACATTAACCAAGAAGCTTCCCCCAATTCTTGCCGCCCTGCTGACCAAGCACATATTTCCCAGCTCACTGTTCACTGAAGTATTGACCACATAGCTCCTCGCCCTGTTCTTGCCGCCGCATTTACAGTATAATCACGGACGGCTAGAGACAAAAGCCCACTCAGCTAGAAGTTTGCTTCATCCCAACGCCCATGATGTACCCTAACAACCTCATCTTCCCGCAGCCCCGCAGGAGAAACAAGTCTTATTAATATTAATGGAATCAAATTCGAAAGCTTTCCCGGATATATTACCCCCTTTACCAAATGTACATAGATCATGCTAGGCTAAGACTGAAGTACCCACTTCCCCAGTTAAGTATCCACTGTCCTAAGACATTCATCCATACATGTGCATATTATACATATATATATATATATATATATTAAATATTAGTGACACTATACCCATATTGCCCTACCAATAAATAAATAAACATGTACTCGACCAAATCATACTAACTAACTAACTAAATCCCTTAAATCCTAGACAGCCTCAACCTCGACAGTCTACAGGAGATGGGGAGCCAGCTGTTCCCGCACATATCTGTTATGTGTGATGCCTCACCGAAAGGCAAGCTGGATGCCCCCCGGTTGCACCAGTCAATTCAGTCGTACACCCAGCATGGATTCGTTTCGACTAAGTTGTGGATGCCCCTGATCACAATGGGGAATTTCGTTGCGATTGGAACCGTCCAGAAGCTGAGTACTCTCTTGCCCTCCTCTGCGACAGCACAGCAAAAGCTTGAAGCAGCAACACTGGTTGCAGAGTCAGCGACGGCTTCTTTGGCATGTGAAGCTAACAAGAAGGCCGCGAAGAAAAAACTGCAACTGGATACAACTAGTGCAGTGTGTCATTCGTGTTGCATTGAAGAACACTCTCAAACCGCACCCCACATGTGCAACCAAGGCCCAAGGCCTTGGGAGCTGTGCGAGAGCAACGCCTGGCGGCAAAGCAAGAACTGAAGGCCGTTCGCAACATACTGGAGCATGCCAACTTCGACCTGGATAGCATCTTTTCCGCCAGCCCCTTGAGAGCAATCGACCCCGCACATGAAGTCAGAACCGAGCACCGAGTAGGATGTGATGCCCTCGCCTTCTATGTCAACGCGACCACGGGCGACTGCACCTGGGCGGCGGTCATGCCCGAGGCCGACACGACTGTGCGACTTGTGTTGGCTCCGGACGAGGGGGGCCCTCTGTTTGCCTGCTACCAGTACTTAGCACTTCAAGGAGCGAAGGTGACCTTGAATCGAGACGCCCTGCTGCTCGGTTAATGCAGACTGTGTACGCACTGCCTGTCATTCCTAGTTTTGGCTGCCAGCAAATCCTAGAGTGACTTCACTCACTCATGTTGTACACACAGCAAAGGCACAAGCTGCACGCCTATTGTGGTCGAGTGACGAGCTGCTCCCCGACAATCAAGCGAGCCTAGGCTGATGTGTGAGTTCTTGTGCAACTATATAATTGGTGCTGATTCCCAGCTGTTCCAAGGAATGTGCGAGCTGTCGGGCTGGCTGTTCAGATCGAAGAAGAGCCCCTGGGGCACCCATGCCACCGGCAACAACTTGTCTGAAGGTTGTCTTCGCTACTTGCAGGTAGCAACTTCTTCGCATGAAGAAACGGATTCAGCAACCAAACCCCCAAGACCCTCACGCAAAGGCAGAAGCCGGCGATGCTTTGATGCAGCTCTTTGGAAGAGATATATTGAAGGAGCGGCTCGGCGATTCTCTCATGTGTTTCCTAGCTAGGTCCTAGGTCCTAGCTATTGCTACGGACAAATCTCAGGAATGGAGTCGAGGAAACCGCTGACGAGCACCTCAACTTTACGAGGACTGTGGAAATTCTGGGGAAGGCGGCGAAGAAGCCCGGAATGCATTCAGTAATCCTGGCCTTCCCTGTTTTTGTGCTGGGTTTTCCAACTCCAACCTTGAAAGCGCCAAGGAACAAGAAGGGGTCCTTCTCGTGGTCCAGATGGTGTTCCTGGGCACACACAGCAGCCAACTACCAGTACAGCTGCCATTTGTTGCAACTCTTCTGGAGTGCGATGGAGGTGCCAGCAGACCAAACCATATCATTGTCTAGACTGATAATAGTCTGTAGTAACTTAGTAGTGTGCAATGGTCGTAATTATTTTATGAATTACATAGTGGGATGATAGTTTTGCGACTCTTCTGCTTCTGAGAAACAGAAACTAACGTTCGTACCGCCGGTATACCCAGTAGGGTACGTCTAGGTCTATCAATTGGGGTTTGGTGATAGTAACACTTGGGCCCTGCCAGCCTGCTAACCTAGACTACGCTAAGATACTGGTACACCAACTGTCGCGGTTGTAGCAGCCTAGTGGGGGGTACCGGTCCGGAAGTGGATAATAAGTGAACTAGCACCCCGATGCCCGAGACTAGCACAACCCACAGGGTAGCCTTATGGACTGTTACAACCCAACTGATCGGATCGCAGCCCATTACACAGATGCTCAACGGCACGTGCGAGTCTAATTGGCTGCACAACTGGATAATTGTTCAGTGGGTATGGGGTCTCGTTAGTAGACTATGACAATGGTTTATTATGATTACGCATTCCATATCGGTTTCTAATATATATGTATATCCTCATATTCGTATTTATACAAATCTGTGTAATATATGGATATAGAATTTATATATATATATATATTCTATATATATATATAAGAACGGATCAGTGGAAATCCAGGTCGACGCCAAGGGGCCCTGCCAGCCTAACAAGTAGTTCTATGATTGCTGCTGCTGCTGCCGCTGCTGTTGCAGGCTACTGCTACTCCGACTAGATACTACTAGTATTACTTCTACAGCTTCTGCTGCCGATATGTTGTTGTCATAATAAGATTATGATTGTGGTTTGGGTGATTATGAAGTTCTGTGGGTTCTTCAGCTTGGTTTGCTAAAACCTCGTATCCCAACCTTAGTCTGTCCCCACGCCCGAAGTGCTAGGACAGCCGAGCATTTGGATTCTCTCATGTAAATAGAATAAGTGTTTTTTTTCTAGTAGGTATCGATACTAGGAAGACTCACTGAACCCTGATTTGTTAAGGTAGCATTCAGCTAGGTGTAGGCCCCTCTGACCTGTCGTCATAAGTCTCCTGCTGATGAGTAACTGTAGCACAAGGAATCAGGAAAACCAATAATTAATATAATTACATTGGCACCCTACATCACCTTACTGTGTTGTCGTAAGAATTAGGGCAGAAACACCTGAAGTGACCAGGGAGACATCTATCACTGAAGCGGCCCCACGCCACAACCTTGCCCCATATCCACGCGAACCAGCTCCCCGGACTAGAGCCCCGAATTAAGCGAGAAGATATCATAGCTAAGACCAGGAAACCAAAAAAGCAGTTCGCCTCTTCCCCAGGTGTTGGAAACGTGTCCAGGTGCAGTAGTCGTTGGCATGCTACCTAAACAATCATGTTGGCCCCCGCGAGTAGCTCAGTATTTGTCAAGATGCCACTTAAGCATTTGGTTGCCATGGCCAGGGCACAAGCATGTAGTGTTGATATCGAAGCTAGAAGTGTGCCAGGATTCCGACATTTTAAGGTTCAGGATGCCACAGGTAGTAGTGTTTAGATGCAACGATGCTCGGTGAAGTCATGTCTGGGTGCAACGAGGATTTGCTCCGTATTCTGAAGTCTGTATATAACATGTACTTGCTAGACACGCAAACCACAGACTACCTGACAAAAATCAGAACGTAACTACCACACCCGCAGAAAACAACCCTGATAATATAAACAGTAGGAACAGTTGACAAATGTGCCCCATTGGTAATCCAGACCAAAAAGCGACGATCATAGTAGTACATTTATGACATCAGAAGCTTGAAAAAACATTTGTGTGAATATCCACACAGGACGAATGATATCAAGTCAAATCACAGCATTATCATCGTCGTCATAGCCACCACCGCCATCAGCACCGCGATAGCAGCACTCATTGCAGGTGGGCCGCAATCCATGGACGGCCCTGGATGGCAGATCTTCCTCGGAGCAGGGCTTTGACAAAACCATGGAGCTTTGTGTCAAAGCAGCCAGGCTTACTTGGCATGTGCACGCCATGTGTGTGCTAATAAAATTCATGCTTGAAGTAGGAACTATGTGTTACTCCAAGGCATTGATGGATGAAGAACTTTATCAGATTTTCCATGTGGCCCGCAACATCGTGGCTCCCTGGCGAGATCTTTGCCTGAAGCTTGTGCCCTGGCTAAGAGTGGAACATGCACATATGTATGTGATGGTACGTCTGTGAGCAGGTGCAGTCGCAGGTAGGGAGGCATCCAAATATGTATGCATGTGTATGTATACATTCAATATGAATAATATGTGAAAGTGAGACCCACATGTACATGTGTCTTTCCCTGTGTGTGTGTGTGTGTGTGTGTGTCTGTGAGCCATTCCTTTGCAACCGTGACATCTGCCAACTTGATCTAAGCAAGAAGAATGCAAGCAAATGTGGGCTTCTCACCGGCATGCTCTGGAGATGAATGGAGACTGGCCAGAGCGAAGCTTGCAAAACCTGGCATCCGAGACGCTCAATGCCCAGGGACTGAAGCTGCAGCCAGATGTGAAGAGCGCCGCGGGAGCCCAGGCCATTGGCACATGTTTCAGTGATTCAGGTATGATTTGGGCTGGTTTTGGTCAAGCGAAAGTAGAAACCACCCAATAGTTAGCAACTAGCCCGGGTACAATCCTATGCATGCTGCCATTCTTGCCAGCATATACTGTGAGGCCCTCGAAGTGTCGTTTCGACGAACTCAAACTGAAGAGAATGTTCTCTACGAGTGCTTTGGGATGGTGTTGGCTTCGGCTCACGAGCTGTTGGAGTACAGCCTACATCTAAGAAGAACCCCAGCTTGTGCAGCAGCACTCCTTGCTCCGGGCGATGAACACGCGAGCAACAAAGAAAATGTGTTGTCTTCGATGAAGCATGAATGGGAGACTGTCTTATTCATGGAAAGCAGCACGCGAACGCATGCTTTGTTGAAATCGCGATGCCGGTTCACGGACTTTCAGAACTTTCGCGAGATTCACACGATGATGGAGCAGTGCCAATACAAAGTGACAGAGACTGCAAGGTCTCTCCTCGAGGCCTGGCACCCGCCTTTTGCATGGTCTGCGAACCTTGAAAGCATCTTCGGTGAAATCCAAGCAGCCCTGAAAAAGTCGAACCGCTCTGAGGGAGCATCTATGCAATCGATGATGAGCATTGCAGTGCGATCTTTGGGTCGCCGTGTTTGCACAGATGAGACAAGCCCGGCTCCGCTGACCCTCTCCGCTGATGATTACATGGGAAAGCAAACCGCTGCATTGAAATCCAAGATTTGGTGCCCCGAATCCTGCACCCCTTGAATCCTGGTGGCGATTGATAATAATAGTTTTTGTTTACCACTCACTTGTGGAACTACAATTATTGTTCCGATTCGCGAAGGCAAGAACGTCAGCTTGGATGACATTGTGAAGCCGATGAACAGCACGAGCGCTTTTCACCACACGCATGATCAGCTGAACACCCTCAGTGCTTTCATGGAGATGAAGCGGAAACTTGTCTTTTCATAATGCATCATTGTTTCTTCAGCGGTTGCAAGTCATAATGTTTCGCCGACCCCACCCTTCAAGAACGCACCAAATAGCATTACGCATCGAAGCCGAGGCTGTCCCTGGACATACTGGATGAAAGCATGCATTTGTGGGCGGCCCAATGCCTGGGAAGTGGTGAGCTCATGAAAATCAATGGCCAGTTTTTCGTGACAACGGGACGATCCCCGAGCATGGTTTACGATGCTTGGCTTCATTCGTAAAACTCTGAAGTGGTCTTATTGAGGCCGTCCGGTTATGTGTACTTTAGAGGTCTGGTTGATAAGAATTTTGTACTATGTGCTTAAGTTCGCCGTGTATGCATGGGTACAGTTGATGATATGAGAGTCTTTATGCCGACCGTTTAGTATAGTAGGGATAGAGTGATAGAGTCAATCGGTATGTTTTTCAGTGTCATCGATTATCTAGAACTTCGAGTCCACACGGCCTTCTTCTCACGGGGTTTCTTATACAGACGAATAAGGGTTTCAGCTAGTCCGGATTGTGTGTAGGAATTTCCATACGGAAGCTTTACTATTATAGTTAACTGCCACGAGAAGAAAAGCTAATATAATAATGATGTACCCCAAACTCTTTTCAATTCAGTTGGGAAGTGTTCTTAACAGAGATTGAGTGAGCCTCTGCATTGACTTCTTGGCACCCCAGGCAATTCGATTGAAAGAGCTGCCGTGGGATTTTCGTGGCGGCCTGCCAGATGCGATCCTGGATGAGACGAGAATGCCCAAGGCTTGCAACAGTGCAGCTGTGCGGGTGGACCCTTTGAAGCATGAGCAAAGCACCAAAGCACTGGGCATTGATGTTTCCTCGAGCCTGGGCACGCAAGCAGTTTCACTTCACTAATGCCATAGAGTACTGTAGTGGTTGCTTTCGTTCACCAACCCTAGGAATATGTGCCAGACGATGCTGTTTCGCCCCTCCGAGGCAGGACTTCTTCAAATGATTTTAGTAATATCTGTGATGTTTCGACAAACATACAACAGGCAAAGTTCATGCTGTATACGTTGCACATCGCCCCGGACTCCTTGGCGAACAAGCTCGGCTGTGGGCTTCTGCTGAGAAGGGGGCTTCAGGAGTACAGCTTGCTGCCTTACTTGGTGGAGACTGGGAAACTCCTTGCACTTCCCAGTGCCTCGCTGACAGATCTTCTTGTGCATCAGAATGTGAGGATGGCCAAGAATACAACTGTTGCTTCGAAGATTCGCAGGCTGTTGGCTGAAGACGATGTAAAGAATGGCTGCAGCGAGGGCGCGATTGCGAGCATCACGAACGTTCTTGCAGCTCGTGAGGAGAAGAAAAAGAATCAGAAGGAGAAGGAAGAGGAGAAAGACGAGAGCGAGGAGACACGATTCTGTTTGAGGTGTTTTGTGTCATCGTTTCGTTGACTCGCCTGTTCGTGCCCGACAGGAGTACCAGTGGCAGGAGCTCAACGATGATCCTGCCACCAGAGCCTGCCGCGAACTCTTGGCTGGAATGCCTGATGAGTGTGAGGCCGGGGCAAGTTTCAACCGATAAGATAAAATCTGTTTAATCAAGTAATCACGAGAATGATTCGGACAGGACGATGAGGAAGACAAGGAAGATGAGGCAATGCCACCGGTGACTGATGGCCTCGACCTGCGAGCATCTCGATCCATGCTAAGTGCGACTGCGGCCATCCCCAAGGAGATCACTGACCGCTATGAGCTGCCCGAGAATTGTCATATTCACAAGACTGTGTTCAGGGACAAAACGTTGCCCCACTACCAGGGCAAGCTGTTGGGTGGCAGAGTCTATGATGGCAAGTATCTTGGCTGATTGAGACAGTTCTCGCAAACATACAGTGAATAAGTCGCAGAATTTATCCCGCATCCGAGGCAGTCAACATCGGCTTCGTTTAATCCCGATTTGCCGCTTATGCAAATAGACGAGAAGAAGGGCAGCATCCGCAGTATGGGGGCAAGCAAGAGGAGCGAGGGTCAAGCTTTTTTTATGGTCCTGAGCTGGCTTCGCAAAGCTGATGCTTCCGCGAAGCGGAGACGGGGAAACTAGGCTGCTGCTGGCCTGCCGGGGTTTAACAAAGACTTCAATAAGAGACTCATGGTCCGAAGCAGCCTGGTTTGATCACTGGGGAAAACCGATCTCGAGTGGGGCGAAAAAAGGAGCCATTTGTGCAGAGCATGTTGTACTACTGTGGCCCACCCAAACAGACGAGCCAGCACCCAAACATCCTTAAAGCACCGAGCGCGAGCCAGGATGGCTTGTGTAACCCTTGATTAGCTGGAGCCTACAAGACCTCAAAAAGCCTCGCTGAACCCTACAGACAGTGCCCTGTGGCATAAAGCAGAGTTGCCCTCCTAAACCCCTAAACCCTAAACCCTCTGTTCTTTCGGTGGCTCAAGCCTCCAGCAAAGGAGGGTTCCACAAGCAGAAACTGGCGCGGCAGTTATTGAATGGACTTCCTATAGTCTCCATTGTATTTCCTGTTTTTGGTTATCCAAAATCTGCATTATAGGTTCCTAACCATAATACTGGTTAACCCGAAAAAGGAACTACAATGGAGACTATAGGTTGGGCATATGATTTATGATTTAGGGGCTTTGGGGTTTGGGGGCTTAGGTTTTCGTGTTTTACGGTTTAGGGCTTGGCAGTCTATGTCAGGTCTAGATTTAGGAGCTTCGGGTGATGCGACACAGGAACATCTGGGCCCCATCTGGGCAGGATCGTATAAAAAGGTAGCCCAAACAGCGAACTATAGTTACCATGGAGACTATAGCACACAACTAGCTAAGATAGAAGATTTTATGCAAGTCGGCTTCAGTCTAAGTGACATAGACGCATGTCAGCAGTTAACGACTAGTCTCTTGGCACGCAGTTCTGATTTGGGTTGCCCCTATCAGAAGACGCCTCCACTCCATTCGAGCTGTTGACATGTACCCCCCACCCCCTCCGCAGGATGGCTGACGAAGGTCCCAGCCCCCTACGTCTCTGAGGCAGCTGACAAAGAGCTCGAGGGGTTTTCGCATTTTGAAGCTTTGAAGCTTTAGGGTTGTCGGGCTGTAGGGTTGGAGGTTGAGGGTCGAACCTGAAAATGGATGGTTCAGCGCGGTGTAGCACTCAGGGCTTTCCTGCGTTTGGGTATACCCCATGAGCCCCGAATTCGGGGTCAGGGCCTCCGATTTGGGCCTCAGTTTAAACCCTAAACATTCGATCCCGGAACCAAGCTGCATCCTGGGCCTAGCTTCGGAGTTTCATGGTCACAGAAAGCTTATTAACCTTTCGAATTTTCTTGTAGGATTCTGCAAACCCCGAAAGAGCAAAGGCTACCTCCTCGGCTACTATGATGCATAACCATGCCGGGTGCGCTGGCGTTCGCCAC